CCTTATTTTTATCGGATATCCTCTTATTAGTGGCTCTGTGTGTGTGCGTCTGTGGGTGTTGTGTGTGTGTCTTAGTCGGTGTCTGCGTGAACAGCTATATATGCGTGTGACTCAATGAATGTTGTCTTTATGTGTCATCCTCTATGTACTTGTTCTTCCTCTTTTTTTTTTTTTTTTTGGTTTGATACGAGTAAATAATGAGTGAAGAAGAAAAGAAAAGAAATTAAAATTTTTACTGAAATGATTACAAATTCTTTACTGTTTTCATGTAATTTTTCTGCTTTGATTTTTGCATTGCTTTGTTCTTTATTTCTATTTTCTTGATTCTAATTACTTTTTTTTTTCTTTTTTTTTGGTTAAAGATTCTCATATAATAGTCAGAAATGCTTTCAAATAAAAAAATTATTGCTCAGTCAACTTTGTTGGTGTCTACAGAGAAAAAGCAGAAAGGAAGAAAAAGTTCGGAAAAAAAAATTCTTCTGTTATTTTTATCACTTTCAACAATTTTTTTTTTTGTTTATAGATTTTTGCTTCTTTTTTTTGCTGTTTTTTTTGGCTGCTGTTTTTTAAGACAAAACAGAAGAAAAAAAAAGATGATAGTAACATAACAACGTTTTTGCAAATATTGTTTGGTGGAATATGAGTGCTGTTTGTATGTATTCTGTGCAGCAACGGCGATATTACTTAACCGATAATGAAAATATGAATGGGAAGTTTATTTGTTTTTTTTTTTTTTATTTTTTTTTCTTGCAATTTTGAAGAAGCTTTTTTCTTTTCTTCTTCAGTAAAATCAAGTTTTATTTGTTTGAGCAAAACAAAGCAAAACAAAACAAAAAAATGGAGTATCCGTTCATTTTACAGGTTTCTTCTACTTTTTGCCATCTAAATTTTCTGCCTTTTTCTATACAACAGCATTGATTTGTTGTCATCGTTTCTAAAACAGCAATTATTAACCAGTGCAAAAAAAGGGAAAAGGAAGAAAACGGAACGAAATAGAACGGTTTTCTGTTTTAATTATGGATGGTATTAAGTGGCATTGGTTAAGAAGTTTTAGGAAGAAGTTGCTGAAAGGCAAGGAGAAGAAGGTTGAGTAAAGTGATAATGGGTGCAGAAGAAACGATGAAAAAACGATTTATAGGTTTGGAAATATAAACAAATTAACTGCATTTTTAGCGGGTTTCCTGTTAATCCTCCTGGTAAAGTATGCGTTTTGCCAACATTGAACTTTTCAGATGCTGCGGTTCATCGACAAATTTACAATGATTACAACAACGATTAAATTTGTTGTAAAAAAATTGAATTAAATGAGATGTCCAGTTCATCAGAATTCAGTGGTTACCGTAAAATATTATAAATGAAAGCAAAACACTTTTAAGTTTCTTTTTTTCTGAGCTCTTTCTTTTGAAGAACTTATTAGGTTTTGCAGGTTGTTGTTGTTTTTTTTTTTTTTTTTTTTTTT